CCGATTAATTAAAGCTGAAGATATTTGCCTAGTTAATTAAAAGAAAACCGAATGAAAATTGATACAAACAAACCACATGCGGGCTACTCATAGAGCATGCAACCCAGTAAGCACACGGTCAATCTGACAACCATACCCAACACGCAATGAGCACCACCCCCCATATTTCCACAACGCAAAGAAACCCCCAACGAGAGAACCTCGGCCGAAGACCACATACACCGCCAAATCCAGAAAGGTAGGCCATGCCATAAGGACAACCCAAAAGACTTATGACCATCAATCAAGCAATTGCAGACGTCTTTTCTGTGGCGTCACTCTTCTTGCTTTTGCTTCTAAGAGCTTTCCCACAATCCTCTTGCTGCCAGATCCAGGGCTACCCACCTCCAAATGTTTGAGCAAGCTATGAAGCTCTATCTCGAACAGAATCACAGAATCGCATCAATCTACAAGAAAGGAAAGCTCATTGTTGCAAAGAATAAAAAATGGTATGCGCATGAGACTTGCGCGTCGATTCAATATGAGAGAAAAACTTGAAACTTTACAACGGCGCACCCGAGACCTATGAGGACCCCACTCCCCAGGCACCACATACCACCGGTTACATTGCAAGTTTACTACTCCCTAAATCCAACCGTACCACGCCCAACTAGTTTGTGCCGCAGCGCGAACTGCCACACGCTCCACTCACCCCAGATAAGCGACGCCAGACCGTTCCTAGTCATAGCCACGTTGTCGAACACTCTACGATTCCTCTCCTTTCAGATGGAATGCAAGACTAGGATGGTTAGGGCGTTCACCTCCCTCCTTGCTACCTCCTGCAGCACCTCGCTCGCCACCGTCCACCAAGCCACTATTGTAGCTTGAGTCGTCGGTGTGAAGTTTTCCCAACCTTTAACCTCTAGCACATCAAACCAAACATACCGGTTCTTGCAAGCATACCGGGCAACATGGCTGGTGCGGCAACCCTCTTGCCGCAAGACGGTCCGAAGTCCAACATTGTTGCAAAGAATTCAAATATACTTTCTTCCTTTCTAAATACTCTCTTTGTCCGATAAAGCTTGTCCCATGGTCTTTTTTCAGGAAAAAAAACAAGCGAATTCCCGACAAGCCCCTTAACTTCCTGTCGTCTCCCCCGCTCCTCTCCCGCGCCGGAGCTCCCCTGCTCGGCTCCCCCGCGCGTAGCCGAAGCTCCTCCGCCCGACGCCTCCCCCGCAGCTTCCCTCTCCTTGTCCCCTCCCCCTTCCTCATGGTGATCCAAGGCGAGGAGAAGGCTCGATTTTTCTTCCGACGGCGGCGGCCTTCTCTGAGTTCGATTCTCTCCAAACCCTCATCCTCGACGCCATGGCGGCGGCGGCCGTTTCCGGGTCGTCCTCCTCCTCGGTGCTTCGGTAGCAGCTCGCCCGCGGCGGCGGCAGGAGCGAGCAGCAGCAGTGGCCGCGCGAGTATGCAGCGAAGGAGGTCACCTTTGGCGTCGGCGCGCACGCCGCCATGCTGCGCCGGAAGCCCTGTCTCGCATGCGTGGTCGGCGTTGCAACAGCCGCTTCTCCTTTGCCATGGGTGATTTTTTGCTATGCTAGTCGTCCCCCCCCCTTCTATTTTCCCATGTTTCTTCTGCTTTAGTTTCCCATGTGTTCTTGTCAGTCTCTTAGGTGATGTAATGTGGGTTTGATTTTGCTGGTGCTTGCAGATTTCTTCAGGGGTCGGAGGCCAACCACCACATGGCAATAGTCTGAAGACTGCATTTGAAATATGCCTTCAACATAGTTAACTACCTTGCTAAACTTGTCATGTTGTGTGTAGATACTGCCCCCGTGCTTGGCAAACTTGTCATGAGGCATCCTTTTGTTGCCTTTCCTACTGTTGACAAGACCAGGGTGACCATCAGGGAGCAGAAGGAGGTCACCGTCCAGCTAATTAACTACACCAAGAGCGGTAATTAATTTTGCATCATCTAGTGACAGATTCCTCAACTCACATTTTAGTTATGCTCCCTGCCCTCTAGGCCCTCCAGTTTCTTATCATATCTGCTTTTGTTTGTGATGGATCAGGGAAGAAGTTCTGGAACTTGTTTTACCTGCAGCCTATGTGGGTTCAGAAGGTAGCGAAATGTTATTGAAATGCTGAATTTGTTTTGGAGCTTGCAGGTACAGTTACATGGATATTACTCTTCATGATTTATACTCAGACATCAATGATCAATGATTAATGATTTATACTCCAGCAATTCCAGGAATGATTTTAGGATATTGCTCTAGATTAGGAGTTTTAAATGGAGTACTCCATCAGATTAGGATACTACTCTAGATTAGTGTAGCCACTATCTAACAATTTTTTTCAGAACTGAATTTCAGAGTACTCTAAATGATGTGTGCCCTAGCATTTTTGTGTTCCCTGGCATTTCTGTAGCATTCAGTACCATGACAATTTTAACATGTTGAGAAAATTTCAGTAACATGAATTTGAAATTGAGTACTCAGTGTAAGGATTAAATGCACACAATTTGGGTATTAGCTTCCCATTCAACATTGCGGAAATTTCAAATATGCTAAGTATCATTGCTAGTGGTTGGCTGACCAGAGAAGAGAAGACAGTTTATTTGGCATGGTTCAGACTAGTAATTTGTGTTCAAGAATCTTCCTGTTCTCCCATTGTTACCAAGCATGATCTTGCTTGCATTGCCGCCTTTGCTACATGAAGCAATAGGGTAGGTTCAGTTTCGCTGAATTTTTGAAACTATACATCATTTGCTGAATTTTTGCTCAACATCACTTGCTCCTTGTAAATTATTGCATATATAATTTTTGAAACTATAGGTGAACCTCTTCAGCAAACATAAAACAGTTAACTGAAACTGTCTAAAACAGTTAAGTCCACTTGATGCTTAGCTAATGCAGGCCAACAGAATGAAATGAACTACGAATTTGTTCTCTGAAATAGTACATGCTTTCTCTAGACTGAGTTTCCTGCCTTTTCCAACTGAAACTCAGTCAGCCCTGGCTAATAATTATCTTGCTCACTGACCCAACAACATCTCAGACTTTGAAGACATGAGCTGCGAAATGATATATGGTCAGGTGCCCCCACCAGTGGAAGAAGATCCAGTGTCGAAACAACCCTGCTATCACAGCCTCTGTGAGTGCGCCCAAATTTGGCAACACTTTACAAGTACTGAACCCATCTAGCGCTGAACTTGCACTAACATGCATCACCTGTCACAAATTTGTTGTGCTGCTACAATTTTTCAGGTTCCATATCGACGCCCTCCGCTGCAATATGTCCCAAAATTCAGAACTAGTCTTCTGCAAGTGCTCACAAGGGTTTTGATACAAAATTGTGCATGGTGCCATGGTATCGGATAGGCCAGAATTTCAACAGGGACAATAGATAGTGCATCGGTAAATTTCTGAAACTTGCGGATACATCACTGGGACAATATACAGTCACTAAAGGGCAACCTGGTGCATGTAGCTCCCGCTTGCGCAGGGTCCAGGGAAGGGTCCGACCACTTTGGGTCTATAGTACGCAGCCTTTCCCTACATTTCTGTAAGAGGCTGTTTCCAGGACTTGAACCCATGACCTCATGGTCACAAGGCAGCAGCTTTACCACTGCGCCAAGGCTCCCCTTCGGACAATATACAGTCACTATAGAGAATAATTTCATTACAGAGTAAATTCACTATACAATGATGCTGCCATGATGCTGTAATTAACATCAGTTCCACATCAATTTGGCCATATGACAAGGATTTCAGGGCAGGGGCGCCGGTACCTTTCACGAGTAGCAGAGCCGGAGTCGTCTGGACGAAGAAGTAGAAGATCGGGGGCTGCCTGTACGAAGATCGGGAGCTGCACCACCACTAACAGAAGCAGCAGAGTCAGAGGAAGACGGCAACAGCAGAAGAGGACGGAGTGGCGGAATACAGCGCGCCGTCAGCCGTGGAGCCGCCGCCCGTCGAGGTGCGCGCAGGTAAGCAGGGGCGGCGCAAATTGGCAGCCGCGGCTCAGGTGGGCCTTCGTCGCCGGCTGAACACCACGGTGGCTGGGGCGTGCGGTGCAGCGGCGAGGGAGGTGGAAGAACCAGACGGTTGCTTCGAGTTGGATTAGGAGCCGGGAAAGGAAAGAGTTGCAGTGTTGCCCGGCGAGGGTCTCAAACTCTCAATTCATGCTTAATTAAGCTTTGGCGCGAAGCTTCAAATGCACGCAAGCAAATCCGATTTTCTCACGGATCACATCACATACGCATCCACGGTTTGGAATCGGCCTGAGCTCATCAATAAAAGGGAAGGCAGCCAACCTGCTGCCTTTGCCCTCGCCTCGCTCTGACTTCTCTTCTCGCACTTCCGATCTTCCCCATCGTCTCCTTCACCAATCACCAGCCCTTACTCAGCGAAGCGACCGGCGTCCCCTGTTCCCTTCCCATGGAGATTGCCTACCCCTACGGCGGGGAGCTCACCAGGAAGCACGGCTCCGTGACAGGCCAGCCGTTTGCCGCCAAGATCGACATCATGTCCGGCCAGAAGCGCGCGAGGGAGATGCAGATCCTTCGGCAGCGGTTCCAAGCAGAGCTCGTCGCCGTCCGTGGCCACCTCCACAAGGCGGCCGCCGTGCTAATTCCCGCCTCGTCCCCGTTGGCTCCCCGCGTCAAGGAGAGTCGTCCAGGGTTCTTGGCCGAGGAGCCGCCGGCCAAGAAGAGGAAGGCGTCTCCTCCCGTTCCTGTGATCAATCGCAAGAAGGCGCCAACGAAGAAGAAGATGACGGCCTCTGAGAGGGAGATGCTCGCGGAAGACCTGGAGCTGTTCGTTGCGGAAATCCCCGATCACATCGTCCAGCTCTTGCAGAAGCACAGCTGCGCCACCCGCCCCGGCGAAATCGAGATGGACCTCCACGCGTTGGACGACGCTGCTGCTGTCGAGTTACAGGAGCAGGTTGACAAGTTCGCTCGAGAGAGGAGGTCGGCGAATCCGTCGCCCCAAGAACGCCACCAAGACGGCCCTGAGGCGATGAACGAAGAGGAGGACGAAGAAGTTGACATCTGTGGCGGCGTCTCCCCCTTGGTGATCGTGCCGCAACCTCTGCTGCAAGAACGCCACCAAGACGGCCCTGAGGTGATGGCCGAAGAGGAAGAGGAGGAAGAAGTTGACATCTGCGGTGGCGTCTCCCCATTACCGATCGTGCCGGCACCTCTGCTGCTCGTCGAAGATGAAACAGCCAGCGGCAGCCCAAGCTCCAGCAGCAGCAGCAGCAGTTCAGATACTGATTCCAGCGACAGCGATTCAGACACTGATTCCGGCAGCAGCGACTCGGGTTCAGAGCACTCCGGCGGCAGTGACTCAGATTCTGATTCCGACGAGATCGTCGACAGTCCAGCACCGGCCATCACGCCTCCAACATGTGAGCAGCTCGCCCGTGCTCTGGAAAGGCAGCGAAAGGAGGCCACGTCCCGGGCGAGGGAGAAGGCCCGTCAGGAGCTGCTCCACATGGAGAAGACGGCAATGCCCGACGATACTCTACACCGAGAGGATCTGAAGAGGCTCGGCATTGATGAGTACAACACGGCGAAGCCCAGCAACTTGCTGCGGCAGATTGGGCTCTACCTCAAGGTTGACGATGATCGGAAGCATCATCATCATCATCATCATCAAATCTTCGAAGAAGACCTAGAGGAAGGCGAGATTCGGTCGTGATCATCGTTGCTAGCAAGGTGCTATAACAAGTGATGTAATTGTTGATGGCTTGAGCCTCACAGAAAACTTGTAGCTCTCTTCTGCAAATTGTATGTGTGTTGAACATGATTGGATATATGAAAGTACATGATCCACAAATAATATTTTTAAAATTCATGAACAGTTTTTTTCTCTGGTTTCATTTTCTAGAAAACATGAATATTTTACTTAAAAATCAGGAATATATTTTATTAAATGTAAGTCAATTTTTTGAGAAATAACATAATTAATTTTATTAAAATTGGTAAGCATTTTTAATTGAAAAAACACAGAAAATGTAAAAAAGTTGGCTACAAACAGTAGCCTTTTTTAGAGACTTCGCTGGATTTTATGGATCAACGACGTTCAATGGAATTGTTACATGATCATGTGGCGCGGCAAGCCGGACATGACGTCCAAATTTTAAGTCTAGAGAGTATTTCGCTAAACTTCAGCTTCATATTTGCTATCTCGACTATCATAGATTAAGTAATTACATTCCTCTAAATTACACGAGCGTCGGTTGACTATCGCTTCATGATGCTCGCCTACTTTATCCGAGGTATCCTTTACAACCGTGGCACAATCCAAAGCTATTAGGATCCGCATGACTAGTATATCGTCGGCAATGTCTTGGCTCTTAGGATGCCCGGCACGCTAAGTCTTCTAGAGTTGGTACATCAATCATGTCACAAAATGCAACTGTAGATGAGCCAAGATAGATGTCGCTTTGGTCTCAGCAAATAGCCACAACAGCTTCTACCATAGTTTCTTAAAATTGTGCCAACAACATTGAACTTCGCAAAACCAACCAGGCGGCAAGGCAAACACTGGGTTCTGGACCTGCTAGCCCGCGAGAGCTATGTGTGCGAGACATATAACTCTGTGTCGCAGTACGCGAGCGCGAGATGGGCTGGCCCAATAGGGGTTTCTGGGAGCGGGTTTTGGTGTGTTTCTTTTTCCTTTTTTTTTCTTTTTCCCTTTGGTTTGGTTTTTTTGTCTTCTTTTTATTTTCAGTTTTCTATGGTATTTTTATTTTTCCTTTTTATTTTGTTTTCTTTGTTCCTTTGTCGATTTTTTCCTTTTTTTCTCTTTCCGGTTTTCATCGGGTTTTCTTTTGATTTTTGTTTTTTCCTTTTTATTTTTAACACGTCTCTATCACGCACAATATAGAATTTTGTGTATATTAGGGATATTTTAACATGTTTTGCATTTATAAAATAAAGGATTAACAATTTTCCCAATATATATTTTAATGACCAGTTTTTTCATACATGTTGTTCATTTTTTGTATACATCAGGAATATTTTATACACACATTTAACATTTCTTAAATATGTATATTTATCTTTATCTTTACCTACTAATAAAGCACGCATTGCTTCCGTCGGGTTCACTGTCACGACATTTTTTCAAAAAAGTCTTTATGTTTTTTTGAAATTGAACCCGCAGCCCCTTTTTGAGTTTTTAACTGGATCTAATAAAACGTCCCGTTTTTGTAAAAAAAAACTTGCACCTATCTTATCCTAAAGCACGAGGGTGGGCTCGCCGGCTATCGTCCTGCAGGAGGCGCGCGGCTCTCTCGACCTCTCCTTCCCCTACCCTCGGCCTCCGGCTCCCCCCTTTACCTCCGTCCTCCCCGCCCCCATTCTCTCTATTATTATATAGGAGGGCACCTCCATTCTCTCTCTAGATTTACTAACCACATGGCACTGGTCAGACTAGCTGCACACAGAGGTGTTGCAATCAAAAGCGTTCTGCTACCTAATAATATTAAAGGTTGATCTGAGTGAAATACAAGGAATAGAAGATAATTTGAAGATCTTGATCCTGCAGCATCCGACTATATTCTGGTTTTTATAACATGCAACAGAGTATGTATAGGAAAGTATACTTTTTGTGAATCATTTTGTTCTCGCTTCTCGTACTATACTGTATCAGGTTGTTCATGTTCAGATTCGTCAGGGTTTTGTTCATATGAAAGGAACTCATGCAAATCATTGTGTCGAATTGGCATGGATATGTATTCTCAAACACTAACATCAATTTTTAATTTCCGATAGACCATTCCTTTTACAGTCGGCAAGCTGGACCTGATGCTCAAAGGACCTTATAATGTTCTAACCAAAGATGACAACGTGGATACAGTCAGATTTTAAAGAGTTTTTTTTTCAGACACGTGTCAAGCTGCGCCTCGCTTTTTGTACTAGAAGAACGGTGAAAAGGTGAGAAGTAGTACAAACTGGGGACAGAGAATCATGCCTTTTCATGCTTCACATTAATCCTTGTGCACGTCCTGGTGTTATCATCTTTTTGAACCATATCAATAACCGTTGTGTCAAGCATGTTGTCAGATATAAAGCTTCTACTTTTTCCGAATGATTTTGTCAAGATGAGATTTTGAAAATATGTGTCTCCATTATGTTTATTGTTACCGAACTCGGGATATGGCATGCAACAGTGCCATCAAGTTATGTTCAAGGTGAGAGCTTGATGTACGTAGCACTGACAGATTCTCACAAAAAAATTGATATGCATCTTGACAGTTGGAAATTGATACGTGAACACAACAAAATGTAGCTTTCAGGCAACGAACTATACATTTTGTTGAAATTCACAGTACAGTTGGGCACATAAATTTTAGTTAACCTATTGGTTACATCTCTAATTTTGTTAGTTGATTATCAAATATTTCTTACCTTCAACATTTTCTGTATTTTAATACACACATCCTATTTATCTGTACTTATGCCAGTTGATCGAGTAAGGTAAAGTTGGGGAAAGGAAGTAAAAGATTACAGGTTCTCCAAGTTTAACAGAGGTTCCATCATACTAATCAATATTTCTCTATATCTTCTTGTCATAAGAGCTGTAGTTTTTCGGATACATCAGACAAATAACATTAAGTTTCTCAAAGGAAAAAAAATAGCACAAGTTTTGCAAGTATAACAAAGTTTGCCTCTGTTCTTAAATCTTTTTTTTCCTTTTACTGAAACTCTGGTAGGCATGGCGATAATAACATAATTTCACACTATTGCTAGAGGGTAACCTTATCTGCTACGATCGTCACAGTGACGTGCAGTAGCACACAAAGCAGGTTATGTGAAATGAGGAACATCTAGCAATTCCCCCGTTGCAATGCACGGGCATAGAGTGGAGAGACAGAGAAAGGGTAGGGAGGGTTCGACGCGGGAACCCGGGCTTCTTCATCGTGTGCACCAAGACACCGTGTAGTCCCAGATGTAGGTAAGCATGGCTTCTCGTGTTTGTCTTACTAGCTGTGGCAACTGGCGTTTCTCCGTAGCGAAGCACACTCTTTCACAACGTGGCCGCCATTGGCAACTATGGGAAGGAAGATAAGCAGCAACATGTGTGGGGTGCGGTGTCAAAATAAAGGACGTTGGCTTGGGGGGAATTGGGGAGGGGGGTTGTTCTTCATCAATGCTCTTGGGATACGGGTTTTTGAAGTTTTTTCTTCCATTGCAACGCACGAGCATTTGTGCTATTTTATAAAGAGGAATAAATAAATATTTGTGTTTTCCCTATAAGCCAAAACCGATCGAGACTCTATTTCATGTCCATGCACCACTACTCTTCTACCAGATGAAGGATGTTCAGGTAGCTTCTTCACATCCACTTTCATGCTTCAGAAAACAACAATAGTGTACCCTTATCATCGATGTTTATCAGAAATGGATATAAGAAATGACGTGTAATGCACAAGAAGTAAGTTTTGCGATTTTCTTGCCCGTTGCAACCTACGGGCATTTGTACTAGTTTCTTCAAATATATGCTTTGATGCCTAATTTTTTCATGTACGCCTTAGATTTTTGTATACATCAGTAACATGCTTAACATTTTTTTAATACATGATTACATTTTTTAAATATATGTTTTAATGCCTACTTTTTAATACACGTTGTACATTTGTCATATACATCAAGAATACTTTTATATACATGTTTAACTTTTTTATTATTTTCATACACATCGTTCTGAGGCGAGCCGAGGCAACAGTTGTTCATCCAGAGCGCACGGAAGCTTACATGGGCCGACGGCCCACCGCGAGAAGGCCTGTGGTGTCTGATCTTGTCTTGCAGCAAAAGATGTGTGTCTGTTTTGTTTTTTCAGTCTTCTATTTTCTTTTTCTTTTTTCTTTTTTTCTAATTTTCTATGTAGTTTTCTTTCTTCTTTTGCCAGTTTTTGTTTTCTCTTTCTGGTTTTCAATGGGTTTTTTATATTTTTTCCTTTTTCTCAACGCATGTCTACTTTTCCCATGCACAATATATATTTTTTATAAATCAGGTATTTTTAATAGATATTTAGCATTTTTAAATAAATGATTATTTTTCCCAATATATATCTTTTAATGACTAATTTTTACATAAATGTTGTACATTTTTTGTATAGATCAGGAACATTTTTTATACATGTTTAACTTTTTAAAAATACATAATTAATATTTTCGTGTCTATTTTTTGATGTACGCCTTAGATTTTTGTATAGACCAGTCACCGTAGGCACCTCGTCATCGACGAGAACATCTCCTCCCAATGAATGCGCATCGCCTGAAATCCTGAAATAAATCCAGAAATAAATGCGAGCACCAAGATTTGAACCCTGGTGGGCTGAAGATACCACAGTCCCTCTAACTATCCAACCACAGGTTGGTTCGCTGTATTGAGGCGAGCTGAGGCAACAGTTGTTTGTCACGAGCACATGGAAGCTTACATGGGCCGACGGCCCACCGTGAGGCCTACTAAATCTAACAGAAAGCAGAGAGCACCCGCCCAGTCCAACATCGAAGCAGGAGCAGAAGAAGGCAAAAACTGTAGAGAACAAATCCAATGGCAAGAGAGGCAATGGGCAAGAAAAAACCATGAAGGGATATCGGCGACCTCCCGCATGGAGGATCGCTGGACGCAATGAATATCCTATGCTGGAACTGCCGCAGTGTGGGCAAAGTCGCGACAGTTCGAGAG